CAGAACATATCATAGCCATAAATGTGGAGTCTCCAAAATAGACATCTGATCTAGCCTCTCTCTGGAGACTATAGAACAGGCAGGAGAGATTTTACTTTTTCCTCTTTCACCTGCATTTTATCGGACTATCAGTAGTTGGAGGATATCCTGTCTGAGCTGGGCTGCCCATGCTAGCTCCACTTCCTGTGGTAGAGGTGAATGAAGGTAGACTATGTCATGGCTCAGCTGGTGTGGCAGATTTCAAGGGAACAGTGGGGACAGGAAATAGGCCAGGGCTGGGCTAGAACAAATGACCTAATGAAGGAAGGATTGATTTGGTAGTGGATAGTCAGCAACTCAAATTACAGTGGCCAGAAGCGATGTGGAGAACTGAGATTTGATCCTGCCAGCAATGACAGACAAAAAAAAAAAAAGTTTATTTTTCAAGAGGAACTTGGCAGCTAAGTGTCTAGGCAGAAATGACACACTGTCAGGAGGATGGTTGTGCCTTATATCTGAGGCTTTGTTCTTATTGGATCTGAATTAGAGGCTGAGAACAAGAATAGAGTCTTACACCTGGAGAGACCTTTTTGGAACGAGACAGGTTGACTACGGAGGTCCTGGATAAAGTTTTTCCAGGGAAAATATTGAATCCAGTGCTGAAAATGTGAATAGAAAACATAAGAGAGAACAGAACGAGTCCTCTGAAATCACAAATATGATAAGATTTGGAGACATAGAGGCTAGGGGGCCAGGGAGTCACTAGTCACTAGAGATTACTAGGGATAAGGCAGGCAACCTGAACACAGACTTGCCTGTGGCCTGTCCTGGGTAATGCATGATGGAGAACTGCTCTAGAGTCTTATCCAGGGCACTGGGGAAAGGCAGGGGCTCAAAGCCTACAATGCATCTGCCAGCTTCTTTCTAATTATATTTTTTCCTACCACTGACTTTTGCAAAGCATTCATATTCTGGTTTCAGGATGAGCCGAGACAATCAGTGACAAGACTGCAGTGGTTCAGAATAGTCCTTCTGTGGGCTCTTGTCCTGGCCAGTGGGCTTTGGGTCTGTGTCTATGTGGGAGGCTGTAGCTGAAGCCTCAGCAGAGGAGTGCTAAGAAGGTGCCAGGCAGCCAGTGTCCTAAGACTCCAGAGGGTAAAGGGGCAGAAGTTATAACAGATAGAAGGAAGCGAATTGCCAATGTGCAGGGGAGAGCCTGCCAGAAACTAAAGCATCTGCAAGCTGCCACAGCTCCTGGAAAAAAGGTCAGTATAGAGGACAGCAACTGAACCAGAGGGCACTGCTACATTGGTGCTGTGTGTCCCCCACTTCATCAAGGAGTATTTAGGATATGCGGGTCTTAATCATGCACTGTATTGCATGGTAAGACCAAGTCTATTCAAATGACAGTACAGCATGCATGGATCCTCAAAATCACCCCAAAATGTAAACAGGACAAGCACTGTCATCTCCTGTACACCTTAGGGAAAGAAATGCGATGGAGGGCAGGCATGCAGTTTTCATACAAGGCACATTATGAATCCATATTTTAAACAGCTTCACTACAGTGAAACTGTTTACTTTTTGTTTGAGAACCACAGCACTAATGCAGAACTGTGGTGCCCAAGAATGTAGTAATCTAACAGCTGTCTGGGCTGTGTTCACCTGTGAAAGGGACCGTTTGCACCTCACAGTCTCCCCATAGAAAGTGGGGTGTGGGCAACACAGTGATGATTGAGTTGATATCAAGGTCAGTTCTGCATTTGATCTGAAGAAGACAGAGCATACCAGATACCAAAAAATAACTTGCAAGGACACTGGCTCTGTCTCTTTTCAAATTCATTAAATGATATCTTCCTAAAATCACAACTTTCCTTTGAGGATCTAAAAGGCTAAAACGAGGACAGGTCTTTTATTGGAACTTAAGAGATGAAAAGTCTGGGAGAGTACCTCACAGATACCACATCTGTGAAAAAGCTGCTTACAATGCATTCCACAATTAAGTGTCAGGCATATTTTATGATGTATATCAATTTTCAAAATAAACACGATAGAAGAGTTTTGCTTTTTATTGGAACCATATATGCCCTTTTATTTATTCCCCTGTAAGTAAAACTTATTTTAAATTCCCAAATGTACTATGTAAGAGAAAACATTTCCAATTACTCATCCTTCAAAACCACACTTGGAAGGATAATGCTATTAGTCAGAATATATCATGATATAAAATTAGGTTCCATAAATGAAGGATAGCTCTATCTCCTCCAGTATGGAGCAGAGTCTCCATCTTCCTGTGATTCACAGTTCATTCATCTGCTAGCTGAAGTGCCACTACACCACAGCTGCGTCTATGTAAACTTCCCCACACTGCAAACAAGACTCAGTTTCTTACTAGTTACCCTGAAGATGTCCAGGCCATTTCAAAATAAGCAACTAAATCTGCCAATATTAACACCGTTTTTAAGCAAGAACACTACGCTGGTTCAAGGAAAGACAAGGCATTTTAAGCAAAAATCTGAAAGCAACTATTACTTTATAATCTACAAATCCATGCTGCAACTTTACTTCTAATTATATTTTTTAACTGTCTATTCAATTTATTAGTACAGATCTAAGAAATTTTTAACTTTGCCAAATTCATATTTTTTTCTTGGCTCACTTTCAACAGGTTGCTAAAATATGATTAGAAGAAACTCATATTTTTGCATTTCCTAGCTTAGACTAACAAAAAGTTTTCTTTTTAGTAAGAAAACAAACCATTAGTCTTCATAAACAATGAATAAGAAACTACACAGGCTTTTTAGTCCTGCTTTATTAGCTTTAGAAATAAATATTTCTGAAATAACATGTTACTATTTACCCTCCCTAGGAAGGAAAATAGTGTAATGAATAGTCATAGATATCTCTACTCTTTAAAATTTTCCTAAATACATTTTACCATGGATTTGATTGAGGCAAAACTACTTTTATAATTACACCTGTCCCTTGCCTCAGTCTCAAATGAGCTCCATCCAAGAGTTCTCTAAATCTTTTACCAAAATGACACTTTTCCCTGACAATAATTTTCCTTGTAAAAATGTAGAGGGCTTTTCAAAGTGTATCTTTTTATCTTAGTTTCTTTTTCAACTATGAAGTCTATTTGAATAATTATTCATTATACTTTAAAAATAAATCAGTATTTCACATTAAGTTCAGTCTCACTGCACTTCCCAGTCTACAGAAATACTCAGTCCGAAGTGTAATGCACTTATTCTCAAATTAGCAATTTAAGCTAAAATTATACTTCCATATGGAAACCACTTCAAGAATAACATGCCGTCCAGTATGTCAATGGCTAATTACATAATAAGGTAATAGAGACAAAGAATGTAAACAAACCCTAAAGATAGGTTATTCAGCGGTAGGAGTGTGTGGTGGGAGTCACATGTCTGTGGCATGTTTAACACTCGCTGGAGAGGCAAGTATGCTCCGAGAACATGCGTACTTCGCAGTACTGGCTCCTGTAACAAGAGAGTGCACCCAATACCTGGTCTGTCCTACAACATCTGAAACAAAAAGACCTCAATAATTTACTATTTTTCTTTTCGTTGTTTTATGCTAGCTCTGTAATCCTATCTACATGTATGCATTTGTTCTAAATTCTGCTTCCTTCTTTCTAAAATGTGTATTCTCACGTTGGACTTCTCTCATAAATAAACACTTAGGCTGTATTCTAAATACAAAGAGTGGTGAATGGGTCGCACAATATAATCTCACGACATAAAATAGTCTTACAACATATAATAAACACACTTTAAGGAAAAAAAAATACTGTTTTCTTTTAGGAGGGCCAAAAGGAGGGGTTATGTTATCCATCATGTGGGAACCCAGAGGCCAAAAGAGAAAGGAAAGGTCTGCGCACAGCACCCAGCGAAACACCACCGGTGTCCTTAGCAGCAGGGTTTCTCCGATGAGTACACCCCCGCCCCCAAGGACAGCCGGCCTTTCCCACAGCAAGCAAGATCAGCGCGGCGGCGGGTTAGGGGATGAATGCTCAGACTTGGGACAGGTTCCAATGTACTTGTACACAGATGAAGGTTTACATTCTTGAATCCGTCCATATGGATTCCATTCGCAAACTGGTTCCCTCTTTCACTTCCAACCTGCGTGCAGAGTCTCAGCGCACGCACAAGCACGCAGAACAAGATCATAGTTCCACAATCGTACCGCCAAGAAGACAAGTGGATTATACTGCTCCAGTATAACCCTCTCTCGCCTTTTAAAAACACTCAGAAATTAGCCCTGCCACCAGGAGGCTGTGCCTGGGGACGGCTGCACACTGGATCCGGTGCAGTTCAGCGGCCGCCACTGCGCCAGTGTAAACTCTCGCTGGGTCGGTGAAGACGCGCGCCTGGGCCACGTACCTTTGCCCGTGTTATTTTAAGTGTAAAATTTGCCTCTTCACTCTCTGAAATGATAGCCAACTAGCGGCCCAGCTGCGACGCTGGCAGATGCTTTCTTAGAAACGGTAGGAAATCAAAAGCCTCCACCCGCCCTTTCCGAGCACACCGCTGGCGCGCGCACAAACACGGCGAGCGGAGCTGGTCCGGCTGTTCCTGCCTTAGGATTGGCATTCAAGGGAGAGAAAATCGAAGCGAAAGAGCGCTGGCCAGCGCGAACCCGCTTTTCCTCCAGCCACAGCTCGCTTTTCTGCGTTCCTTTCAAAGCACTTGCATGCCACTTCGGCATTCCCCACCCTTAATCCGGGAGCTCCAATTCCGCACCAGATCGCGGTCCCGGGTTCAAATCTGCACGTCGAATGGATTGAACAACCTTTTGCATCCCTCCCCAGTCTTTCTTTAAAACTCCACCAGCAAAAACATTTCCTATCCGCGCTGAAAACTTTTTCCTCCTTTTGCGAGGAGATAAGGAAAGAAAACAGGCCAGCTGCTCCTGCCACCCGCCTTGCCCAGCACCTGGTGGCAGCGGCGCAATCCTTACCTGGGCAGCTGCTCTCCAGGTGGCGTCCCACGCCGCTGCTCCACGCCCGCCGAAGCGCCGAGGTGTCCAAGCCGGTGTGCGGTGGTCCCCGCCGCTAGGCGATCCCGGAGCGACAGTCCTTAGGGTTGCGCCTCTCCGCCCGGAGTCGCCCTCCCAGTCATCGCCCGTCTCCCTCAAAGCGCCACGGTCCCTCCTGCAAATGGATCTGGAGCTCCGGAACCTGGTATGGCACAGTCTCAGCCCGCAGCGTGCGCCCGGGGTCCGAGAGTGCTCCGCCCGCGGGCAGCTGCGGCCGCTGGTCACATGCCGCCTCCGGGCAGTGGCCACGCCACCTGCCCAAGGGGAGCAGCGTCTGAGCTCCCGCGCGCCCTGACTCCTGTCCACGCCTTTCTCTCTCTCCTCTCCGCCCCCTCACTTTTCCCCTCTTCTTTTTGTCTCCTTTATCTTCTCTTGCCTTTTTCCGCTCCAAAAGCGGGCAGAAGGGGCTCCAAAGGGGAGGAGGGTCTTTTCCTCCCAGGAGCACTTCTTCTGCCTGGTGGTGGCGGTCTTGGCTACAGCTGGCCCGTTCCTCCTCTCTTTCCTTCTCCTGCTCCTCCTCCTCTTCCCCCCTCCTCTCCCTCTTCCTCCTGCTCTTGCTTTTGCTCCTGTTCTTGCTCCTGCGCCTCCTACTCCTGTTCCTCCTCTTCTTTTTCTTCTTCCTCCTGCTCCTCCTCCTCCTTTTCCACCTTCTCCTCCTTCTTCTCCTCTTCCTCCTCCGCCTCCTTCTTTTCCTCTAAGGGGTGCCCATGAGCGCTGGTGTAACATTTAAGTTGCCTGGTAGAGACCCAAACCTGCCGGGCTGCTGAGCATGCCTAATTGCGGAATTGGGTTGGATTCCTGCTCTGGCAAGGGGCGAGGAAGTCAGGCTTGGGAGATTCCAGAGTGCTGTCTGGGTGGGCTGGATGAAGAAGACACGAAGGTGGAGAGGAGACCCACTCCCACCCCGTAGGACCTCACGTGGTCACAGTGTGTGCCAGCGTGCCTCAAGGACAGACTGTGCTGGTCCTTAGTTTCCTGTTCTCTTTTAAATTAGTTTCCCCGGACTGCTAAGAACGATTGGAAGGAAGTCGACTCCTTATACACAGCTTATTGGTGCATGAACCCCTCGGTAAAGTACAGGGCTCTGTTGGAAGAGCTCCCTTCAAAGGACAGTCTGGGGGGATTTACTTTTTCACATTTAGTGCAGAACAGTAAGTAGAGGACGATTTGACTTTTCCTCTCTAGAAGTTTACTCCCTAGGATAAATAAAAGATGCATCCGTGAAAAAGACACAGGCACGAGGCAGTGCTTGTGCACGCCCTAGCGAATACACACACACACACACACACACACACACACACACACACACTTTCTAAATCAGAAAAAAAATTGCTACTCAGGCTTTTAAAGGTCACATATAACTCAGGAGCTGGGAGGGGGGGGGAGAGAGAGAGCCAGAGAGCTATATAGTGCAGTTAGCTAACTAAATAAGGAGAAAATGGAGAGATACCAAAGTTACAATTGAGACTGCCCACAGCAGTCTAGAGGTTTTCTTAAAAGTACAAGGAAAAAGGCATACATAATAGTGTCACTTTGCAACGCTGAAGGAAGAAAGGAATGGAGGGAGGGACATGAAGTTAATACAGTACAAATGACTTTTAATTTTATGTTGAGCAAGAAGATAAATAGGAAAACGATAAACTCTTTTTAGAAAAATACATTAGAACCTGTGAGAGATTTAAGTACAAATTCCTTCCTCCCTTAAGTGTAATGATTTTAGGAAAGAGCTCACTAAATAGTGCGTAGAAAGAATTGAGTAATAATAGGAAAACTAGTGAGAAGTCCTGTGGCTTCTTAATTTTATTCAAACATTCAGGTTTAGGTAAGTTATATACAGAGACTGGAGTGATAACAATATGAATGTAGCAAAAATTTTGCTTGGATATTTCTCAGTTGGAAATGGAATTGTTGTCTTCATATATTTCTCTAATTTGAATACAAATATCCACACTGTACAGCCAGTTTTCCATAGATTCTGAATTTTGAATTCAACCACCTGGTAATTGAAATTGCTATTTGAAAAGTTATACCTATTCTGAGCATATACACATTTTTGTGTCATTATTTCCTAAACAAAACATGTAACAACTGTTTGCATGGCATTTATATTGTGTTATGTATCATATGTAACCTAGGGATGCTTTAAAGTACATGCTGGGTAAGTTATATGCAAATGCTACACCATTTTATATAAAGGTCTTAAGCATCTGAGGATTTGGGTGTGTGTAGGAGTTCTGGAACCAGTTTTTCTAAGACACTGGAGAATGACTTCTTAATTGGTTAATTCTAAGAATAACAACTAATGTTTTTGAAGCATATACTATGTGAAGGCTCAGAGTGAAGAGCTTAGTATGAAGGCCTAGAGAGAATTGAGTAATAACAGGAAAAGTAGTCAGAAGTTCTATGGCTACTCAATTTTATTCAAACATTCAGGTTTAGGTAAGTTATATACAGGGACTGGAATGAAAACAATATAAATGTAGCAGAAATAGTGACACTATGAAAAGTGACAAACATTTAATCAAATGATGAAAAGCAAGTTGAAGAGATTGCTCAGTACGCTTATTCATTCTTTTATGCTTAAAATACAACTGTGTTTTGTCACCCATTTAATGTAAGAGAAAAAAGGAACCTATAAAATGAGTAAATGGCCCAATTTATTGCTAAGACACAAGAATTCCACTTTAACATGTTTGTCGCTACATAGACTTATTTTTTGCCTGTGATACAGGAGAACCTTCAATAATGTGGATGGGGTAAAAAAACAGAAATGTTCTACCTTATAAAAAGTAATTAAAAGATGTATGTGTCTAGTGCCTAAGTTTGGAATTGACCCTTGACCATATTCTAGAAAGGATTATGAAATAAAATACTTGCGAATAGTTAGAAAAATTCCCCAAAAGTTAACTAAAATATACCAGACTAATTTTATTATTTTATGCAATTAATCATTAAACTCACACGTATTATATGTCCAGATATCAGTCACTCTCCCCATTATCTTTATGGGCAAGATAAATGTGAAATGAATGTTTGTATTGAACAAACTACAAACTAACAGTTTTGACAAAGTCACCCCAAGTTTCTTGGTAAATAGATTCATCCTTGACTGGGGTAAGGTATTGGTTTCTGATTTGGTGTCCTATATGATTTATCAAATCATATTTCAGAGGATAATATAAAGGGATACGTACTGGAATTGAGAATGAACAAAACAAGAAGTAATTGCAATTTTAAGATGTCAAGAATAAAAATTCATGAATACTATACTACACATTTTAGTTTAAAACAAAGGAGGTAAATCAGAACTGAAACAAATAATGCAATTCTGCATTTTAAGCTTATGAAAAAATAATCAGGATAATTAGAAGATTTTTTCCATTACTAAATGAAACAGTTGACAGACAAAATAATTAATAAGATATTCTTCTACTGTAAACTAACTGTAAAACTTGGATAAACTGTATAATATTTTTAGTTATACAGAGAAACCAACATAATGCTACAATCTAGAGAAACAGGAGGTACATAAGGAAAGCTCATTTTCACTGATATTTTTTCTCCCTTTGGACTTTTTTTTTCTTTTAAACAGAAATTCTGGGAGGCCGAGAGGGAGCAGAGACCTTCAGTCTTCCTGGAGAGGATTCTCAAGAGCTTGGAGCTATAAAGGCATCAGAGATTTCAAAAGGCAGCAAACAAAATAGAAGCTTCAGAAATCGATGTGTTGATTCAGTTTATGGCTGAACTCCTAGATTTCATGTATTCAGGAGCACGATTCTGGATATCGGACAGAGTCCAGTGGCTGAGAGGCTGAAACTTGAGTGGATGCACTCTATCTACATCACGTAGTTCTGAGGTACTGAAGTTTGGCTACAGCCAGAATGAAAAGACTTTAGTGAATCCTCAGCACATTTGGTTGAGATGACCTGAAAGATACTCCCTGGTTGTGAAGATGAGGCTCTAAGAGAAATGATAACCAGAGAAAGATTTGTCCTAAAGAAACTAAAGCTGCATGTTTATGGGTTCAAGGTGATCCATTATGATCTAACCACCTGCGGACCACATCTCAAAGTTCATGAGAGGAAGAAAGCAGGTTAGAATCTCTACAGCTGAAACAAGCATTCAAAATTTACTCGATGCTCAAAGAAGAAAAGAGTAACCACTAACTGCCCACAATAAAACATAGGGGCAAACATATGATCTAAATGTTGGAACTGGTATGTAACAGAATCTAAACAAACTGAGGATTAAAGTTATTTGAACCACCATAGAAGCAGGCAAAATGAAAAAAAAACAGAGCATTTCAGAGTAATGTTAGAACCTACAGAACAAAATCAGGGGCTGGAGGTTTAACTCAGCTCTGAGCCTGTGCTTGTGGTGCTGACTTCAATCACACCACTAAAAAAACTCAAATTTTTTGAATTCCTAAGTCAAACTATAAGCAAATGAGTTTGAAAGATATTTCAATGAAACAGAAGATAAGGCTAATGGCCTCAGATGAAAATCAATATAAAATATACAGAATTAGGAGGAAGCAAGATGTAATATTTGAAGAAATAAATACCAGATTTTCATAGCTGGTGAAAGAATTAGCCAAGAAATTCAAGAAAGTAGATAAACCATAAGGACAGAATACAGTAAGTAGGTCTATGAAAACAAAACAGAAAACAGAAAAAGCTAAAAAGAGCCACAAAGAAGTAAGAGAAATATTGCCTGTCAAATATAATGGTGAAAAATAGTCTGGGTGCAATGACTCACGCCTGTCATCCTAGCACTCTTGGAGGCCGAAACAGGAGGGTCACAAGGTTGGACCCGGGTTTTGCAATTTGACAATTCAGCAAGACCTTCAGTAAAATTAAAGAAAAGACTGAGTTTTTAGATCAGGGGGAAGACCTTAGGTTCAATTTCCAGTACCATAATAAAGAGTGTAAAACAAATGAGAAATTGAGTAGAAAAAAAAAGAGACAGAAAATTCATACCATGGACACACTAAACATTTTAAGGTAGTGTGTCTGCTCCAAATGTTATCTCAATCACAATCCCAGATATGTGAAGTGATCCTGGATACGTGAGGTGATTTTCCCTTGATGTGAGTGGTGGTTACGAAAGTGATATGATTATGTGTTACAGAGAGATATTTTGGTGATGGTGCCCCTCATACGATTACATTGCTTAGTAATGTAGTGATCTTCTTAGTTTGTGTAAGTAAGTATATTGTTTGCCAAATAATGAAATCACCTAACAACACATTTTGTTATAAACAATACCCTTCAGGATATGTAAAATTCATCAAACTGCACATTTAAAATGTGTACACATTTCTGTGTATATAATATATTCCAAATTTTAAAAATTATCTCTAAGTATCTGGTTGACACAGAGCACTAATAACCAGATAAAATGGCAAACACACACTCAAGTCATAAACTCTTGCTGTCACACATGAGGACATCTGCCTCATCTAAAGTTCATGTAAAAAACTTTTGAGGTGGAGAATTGTGCAAGTTTCTTTGCACCAAGAAAAAAGAAGTGGTAAACTTATTGTACAGAATCACAGTTCCTCAACCAAGAATAAATCAACTGACATTCATTTGTTTTTCAGGCATGCATTCATTTACTCATTTAAAGTACTCATTGAATTTTGCTGTTTGTCATTAGTAGGTGGAACCCTAGGGAGTCTAAGACACCAATGAATAGTTAAAGAATGGAACTCTTCTTGTAAGAAAGACTTAGAGGACCTGAATTATGCTTTCAGGCTTTTGAAGAGAATGTTAATAAATTATGTAGCTCTAGAGGATGCTATGGGTACCTAGGCTTCAAGTCTTGATAGAGAAGACCATATTTAACCCTTAAAATGTGCCTATTTGACTGGAGAAGTGTTGAGATTTTCATTTCTGGAAACACTTAAGTATAGAACAAATAATATTAGCAATTACTTTTGATCCCACATTTTTATTGGGTAAAGAGTTATGCACTTTGTATTTATAATGAGTACCTTAATCAAGAAATTCATATTACTGTCTTTTGGTGATAGGGAAGCTGGACAAACAATACAGCAAAACCCAAACACAGCTGGGAATTCCTCTCTTTTAGATGACAATTTAAAACATAGTGTTGCTAGAACTATTTCTTGTAATGTTGGAAGGCACATGTGAGCATCTAAGATCTTTCCCAATTCTAGGATGTAAATTTATCCAGTATACATGGTTGGGCATTGGTTTTGGGAAATATTATATTTATAAATGCTAAAATAGGCACAAAAACTTAGAACGAGGCTCTGAAGTTGGATTTTATTCACTTCCTAGTTAATCAGCTCCTGTCTATTGATCATAAATGCCTTTAGAAGGGAGCTGCTAATAAAAGGTTCCTCCAGAAGGGTGTGGAAAATGGACATGACAGCTGCCTCTGCTCTGTGACAGCCCGAGAGCTAACAGGGAGCCTATGTCAGCACACTTGTACAATCACCTAAGACAACAGTGGGAGAAGTCCATGATTAAGTAATGGGAAAGATGTCAGTAATCCTATGTAACCTTTTCTCTTTGGTTTCCTTTGCCTCTCTCCTTTCTTTTTCTTCTCCTTTTCTCCTTTTCTCCTGTCCTCCCTTCTCCCCTCCCCTCTCCTCTCCTCCCCTCCTATCCCCTCCTCTCCCCTCCCCTCTCCTCTCCTCCCCTCCTATTCCCTCCTCTCCCCTCTCCTCTCCTTTCCTCCCCTCCCCTCTCCTCTCCTCTCCTCCTTTCTCCCCTCCTCTCCTTTCTTCTCCACTCTTCATCTCTTATCTTCTCTTCCTTTCCCTTCACTTTCTTCTCTTCTCTATTTTGTATTTGTGGTACTGGGGATTAAACCAAGGACCTCAGCACTGAACCACCTACCCAGTCATTTTTAATTTTCAGACAGGATCATAGTAAATTACTAAGTTTTCCAGTTTAGGCTAGAACATGGGATCCTTCTGTCTCAGTCTCCCGGAATATGTGAGTACCAATACATCTGTCTCTCTGTGTTTGTTTAATTTGTTTTGTTTTTCCTACCAATGCTCAGTGTTGGAATCTGGAAAACCTGGAGCATTGATCCCTTTCTTTCCTTCTCTTGTGCTCTCCTGGGAACACACAGATCTTGGTCATGTTTCTGTTTCTCTGTGTTGTATACTGCGGCAATTACAGCTATTAAAAGGTTTCCACAATGCAAATTTGATGGTAACAAATTCATCTTTTGCAACCTTCTCAATGTTTCTTGTCATCTCATGAACCATTACCTTCCAGTCCATTAAACAGCAATCCTGATTCCTGTGACTCATCTCCCCGAACCTTTAATAAATCACAAATCACCACCACAATGTATTCTTGAAAATTTTCACAAACTTATAAATAGACTGTGGGTTAAAACTCAGGAAGATTATAGGAGAACTGAGGTTGAGAAAAATTTTAAGTGAGAAAATGGCCTTTATCTCAGGATTAGAAGAAATATTATTTCTAGGAATAAGATGACAATATTATATATATCAATATTTATAGGCTAGCAATTTATACAAAATGATTTCATGCTTTACATACTTTGATTTGTATTATTTAAATTTCTGATATAACTAACTCATTTTGTAAGGGAGAGCACAGGCTGAAAGACTGGATGGTTTACTAAATGTGACTGAAATGATGAGACAGCAGAAGCTGGACTCATACTCAGCTTTCCATCATCTTTGAAGTCACACAGAAGAAACTTCAACTTACAAACAGAATTAAGCTAGTGATAGAAACAGCTGTTCTTTAGTAATAACAAAACTAACCACAGAGATAAAAGCCTTTGTCTTTATTATATATCAAATTGCCTCTCTCATCTGACTGCTTTATAATGTATAAATTTAATTTTTACAAACACGTGTCTCATTTATTTTGTACTATTTATGGTATAAGTTTAACTTGCCATCTTTCAGAGTATGTGCCCAGGACCAATAAAGTTATTCTAATTGCCAAAGAAAGCAACACATAATTTAGAAATTGGATACATCTTTAAAACATCACATAATGAATTTAACAGGCATATATATATATATATATATATATATATATATATAATATTCTTCATTATCTGTTGAGTTATTAATGCTTACAACTAAGACTTAATTACATGTCATTGAATACATTGGCTAATGCTTATAAACATATATTGACCATGTGGATTGTGCTAAAATGACACGTAGCTCTTTCTAGATAGTGTTAAGACCGCATTTAAATTTATAAACATTTTTTACTGTATTAGTCTCTACCTGCAAACATTTGATCTGGTTTTTAATTTTGAAATTCTCTGCTCCTCCTACTTCTTTGGGTTCTGAATCACCTCCCTCTTTTTCTCTCTCTTACCTTCCTTCCTTTCTTCTAAACTTTCCCTTTATTGCTTGTTTCCTTCTTTTCTCTTTTGAATTTCAAGGTCCATAAACCAATAGTCCTGTCCCCTAACATTTAATAACCACTGACCTGGTTTATGCGCATGACGAGTTGGTCTGACACTAAGCATTTTATTTATCTGGTATCGCCTCACTTTAGGAGGCCATTTGATTAATCTGCATCTTTCATTGCATCTTTAATTGCATCTTTAATAATTAACTGCATCTTTCATTCTCTGACTTTACCCCCTCCTTTTAAACTACTGACATTTCCCTCCTGAAGATCCACCTAGCTACTCTCAACTATCCGTCCTCCCCAAAGAAAGCAGAATGATATTTGGAAGGCTTCTGCTTTTGCAAACCTCTTTTTTTTTACTCTTTGCCAGAGAGTCCTTTCAAAACATTATGCCTCCCAAGGCCTTCCACGTTTTGGCCACTGCTGACTTGTTCATGTTCGTGCCATTCCAAGGCTCACGTCGGCCTCCTCTACCCTCATGCTGCTCTATAAACCCTCCCTTTCTTCAAGCATTCTCACCACTTCACTCTCTCCTAGAAGGTACCTCCCTATCCTAAACACCTAGATGACTCCTTCTTATTCTTAATGTCTCCATTAAGCCACTGTCCCTGTAGGCTCCCTTGTCTAGGTTGTATACCACGCGTACATTCTACTCTTTCTCTTGAAATAGAAATATACACTCAGATTTTGATGTTCTCAGAGATGTGGAGCTTCCACTGATACAGTGACTTAATATTTAAGGTACTATTAGGTGATTTTTAGTTCTATATTTTTTCCTTCTGCAAAGCAAGGGGCCTTTTCAACAAATGCACTTTTCAGTTAGTTTATATGACTATGTATATTTTGTCTTCTATTAATGCACACCTAAATTATGCTTCTTTCAGATCAAAGAAAAAACCAAGTACATAAACCCGTGAAATCAATTCCTTATCTCTGAACTCTCTGAGCTTAGTGAAGGTACACTGCTTCAAGAATCTTTTGTACTATTGGCATTAGACTTCACGCCACACATTTCTCTTACTGACAAATTTTTTCTTTAACTTCACATTTCTTAAAACTTAAAGCTCTTCTTAACCAGACTTAGGCACTGAATTTTTATTAATATTTCAACAAAGTATGTCACAGATTTTTTTCTACTGATTTGAAAACTATAACCAGCCTTCTTTCTAATTCACAAGTAAATTCCATGATCAGTCTTATCCTTATTATTAGATGTGTGATTTGGGATTTATTCATATTAGTCAGTATTTTTATTTTTGCTTTTAAGGATGATAGATGAATGGAGTCACTGGAGAGCAAAATTAACCAGACATATTAAATTCTCGACATGAAACTGGGCAAAATGGTGAAGATGAATTTTCTGAATCGCACTTACAAGTTATTTTTGTTTCCAATTTTACTCTAGTGTCCAGTAAGAGATGCAGTGGAAATAGATTGAAATAAATGTTATAATTATTCATCCACTTGACATAAGTTTGTTGAATATCACCTGTGATATGCCTAATTTCTAGACTTACTAAGATGAATACAATTTGTATTGGGGTAAACAATACAGTGATTGGAGAGTACTGATTCAGAGTTTAGACTCTGTAGGCATATAAATAATGGAAAGTTTTATAGAGTTCAGTTAGTTTTCATTTAATTAATTTCTTTAAGTCTCTCATAAGTTCTTCCTTATAAATAAGGATACTTGATTGGAAAAGATTGTTTTTGAGGAATAATTGAATGCAAAGTTATTTTCACAGTACCTGAGATGGATATTAGGAATCAAAAGAAGTTTAAGTCCTTTGGGTAAAAATTGATCTTAGTATAGTAAATAATTAGTAGGTGATTTAAATGAAGTTAGGATGTTACAGGAGACTGAAAATGTCTATAGATTTGTTGGTGTGAGTGTGATCCAGTTGACGTGGTGAATCAGAAAGTAAGGTTCCAGGAGTAGATGATTCTTATTGTGAATCTGAAAGACATGTAGAAGTGGTCCAGAAAAGGAGGAAAAAGAGCATTACAAGCAGGCAGGACCATGGGAATAAGAACTTGTTAGCAATTGTGGCATCGTGTGCACACAGAACAGGTATTTGGTTTATATTTCTAAGACAAGATGTTTGCAGCAGAAAATCACTACACATATTTGTGAAAAAGGTAAAGCCAAATTTATGAACACCTTGTGCTATGATTGCCATGATGAAACAGTAGTGCTTCATTTTGTAATTAATGGAGCACCACAGAAGATCTTTGAGTTCAAGGGTGAAATGGATAGCCCTTGTGAAGAGAAGAGAAAAGGAATTTCTTGACCACAGAGGGGTTGCTTATAGAAGACTATTGCAGTAGTAAAAACAAGAAATGAGGCACTGACGGCCAGGCATAGCTCTAGGGTGACTCCTTAAGGTAAGCATGCCACAGCCAGGCTACTTTGTGTTATCATACATGAAGTCAAAATCAGACAACATTTTGAGAATAATACAATGCTCTTGGACCCTAAGAGAAAAGTTTTAAACACTACTGCTGATGGAAAACTCAGACTTTGTGTAATTTTACAGGTGATGCATTGGTTCAACATCAAGAGTGGGATGAGAAGAAAAACAAGAATATTGAAAGATAGGAGAATAGTGGGGAACCACGACAGGGACAACATCTCCTAGGCCTGGGTCTATAAAAAATACAAATTATGTCATTATTCTGGATAGGAATTAAGGGCAAGAATAAGCAAGCTTGGTTCAGTGAGAAAATTTGCAGTTTCTTTTTTAAGTTTTGCATTCATTTTCCTTATAACAAACATTTGACATGTGAGTCTGTCAAAGTATTGATTTAACTAGAGTCATCCTTTTGGTTAGTATTTGTGCTAACAAAGAATATATATGGTGAATTCAGGTTTTAAACTGCAGTGTTCAAAGGAGTACATTTTCTTTAGGAAATGAAAATGAAGACATTCATCAAGTGTTAAGAAATAGAATGCAGAATTTAGAGTGGGTCTCATGCTTGTCAGGTAGATGAGGACCTCTGCCAATATTGAGTGAGGACAGTAGAATCATGAAGAGTCAAGTGGAATGTTTAGGAAGGTTGTTTCAGTCATTTGGAGTCTCTATTGGAACCGTAGATAATAACCATGATTTAGAAATCAGCGGAGAGGAGAGTCCACACAGAAGAAGGAAGTTTTCGGTGTTTTCTGACAATTTAAAGACTATAGAGTCACAGAAAACTAGCCAAGAGTTCAAAGAGGGGAGTTGTCACCAGTCTCCGGTACACTTGAGAGTTCTGATAAACTAGCAATTAAAGACATTTTTTCTTTTTGCATTTGGCAATTCAAATATTAATTGTTATGGTTTGTGTCTGGATGTCTCCCCAAAGCCTCATGAGGTCATGGGAGGAGAGACTTTGCAAGGCAGTAGGGTCTAGTCTTTGTGAATGGTTTGCTATTTAGCACTGGCATTTGCGGTGTGAGTGGTGCACCCACTCAAGGATAGGTAGCCGGTGTTTGATTTAAGAGAGGAAAAGAGATCTGGCTTATCCTTTTTTGCTCTTGTTGCGTTTGGTACGTGCCACCAAGACTGGCTGCCCTGGAGCTGTGTCACTGTGTCACCCTGCCTTGGAGTCTGCTGAGTATGGACCCAAAATTGTAAACTAAATAAATGTTTCCTTCCTTCAATTGGGATATGAGATATTTTGTCCTCATAAAAAAAGTGGCCAAGATTTAATGAAGATCTAATTAAAGCTCTTTCTCTGAATGTCAGAAATTAGAAACCAATTTGTAATGGGTTAAGATTTAAGCAAAATAGCAAGTGAACAAATATTTTAA